CCTGTAGTCCCAGCTACTTGGGAGGCAGAGGCAGGAGACTTGCTTGAGCCCAGGAATTTGAGGTTGCTGTGAGCTGTGATGCCACAGCACTCTACCCAGGGTGATAGCTTGAGACTCTGTCTCACAAAAAAAAAACAAAACAGAGATTATTTATTTAGATAGTAGGTTCTCTTCTCTATGAAGAGAATAAGAATGTTTGGGAGGTGCCTGTAGCTCAGTGGGTAGAGTGCCAGTCACATACACTGAGGCTTGCGGGTTCTAACCTGGCCCAGTTGAACTAAAACAATAACAACTGCAACAACAACAAAAAACTAGCCAAGCATCATGGCAGGTGCCTGTAGTCCCAGCTACTTGGGAGGCTGAGGCAAAAGGATCGCTTAAGCCCAAGAGTTTGAGGTTACTGTGAGCTGTGATGTCCACAACTCACAGCTCTACTGAGGGCGACAACTTAAGACTCTGTCTCAAAAAAAAAAAAAAAAAGTTTGTCATTGAGTTCTCATCAGATATTATTTACTCAAACATGTATATGTAAATCTGTTACATGGTCATTGATAGTAGGAGACAGGTAGGTAGTTTAGAGAGAAACATATGAAATAGAAAGTAGAAGCAAAATGTATTTAGCCATAGTTATATGGCTAAAAAAATAGAGTAATTCCTCAGAATGGATAGCCTTTTTTATGGATAAAATCTGTACTCCCTCGTATACCTTCCAGTGGGAGCTAGATTGTTCATGTTTAGAAATTATCCTCAACAATGATCTTAGAAAAGGTCATCTTTGGGCATAAATATATATTTATTTTTTACTTTTTTTTGAGACAGAGTCTTACTATGTTACCCTTGGTAGAGTGCCATGGCATCACAGCTCATAGCAACCTCAAACTCTTGGGCTTAAGTAATCCTCTTACCTCAGCCTCCCTACTAACTGGGACAACAGGTGCCTGCTGCAAGGATTTTAGCTGGCCCTGGCTGGGTTCGAACCCGTCACTCTTGGTGTATATGGCTGGCATTGTAACCACTGTGCTACAGGTCCTGGGCCTTTTTGTTTTTTGGGTTTTTTTTTTTTTTTTTTTTGTTTTTTTTTTTTTTGAGACAGAGTCTTACTCTGTGCCTTGGAAAGAGGGCTGTGGTGTCATAGCTTACAGCAACCTTATACTCTTGGGGTTGAGCAATCCTCTTGCGTCAGCCTCTAGAGTAGCTGGTACTACAGGCACCTGCCTGGATGCCCAGCTATTTTTAGAGACAAGGTCTCACTCTCGCTCAGGCTAGTCTCAAACTTTAAGCTCAGGTGATCTACCCATGTCAGCCTCTCAAAGTGCTAGGATTACAGGCATGAGCCACCAAACTTGGCAAATATATCGTTTATTAAATTCTCCTTTGCCAATTGACTTTCTGTATGTTCACTTACATGTCACTGACCTTTAGTTTACTAGCCTCAGAGACAGCAGAAATTTTAAAGATATGGAGCCTTGTTATATATGAATAGGTTAAGTTAGTTGTAAGTATTGGCAACATTGAAAAACATTTGTTTATAGATTATAGAGTCCTTATGCAACACAGTGTATACCTAAAACCTGGCAAGAGAAGAAGACTTTAGTTTCATACAGGTCAGTCAATACCTAGAACACTACCTTATGAAAATATCTCAAAAATGATTTGTTGCCATGCTACAGAAATTATTACATAACATAGAAAAGAAGGAATTTCTCCCCCAGTTCATTCTTTGAAGCCAGTATCACGTTGATACCAAAGTCAGGAAAGGACACACAGAGAAAGAAAACTACAGACTGAAGTTCCTTATGAGATGAAAACTCATCTTACATCTTAAGATGTAAGAATACTCAATAAAATACTAGCGAACTGAATTCTGCATCTTATCAAAAAAAGAATCCACCACAACCAAGTGGGATTCATTCTAGGGATGCAGGGATGGTTCAACAAATGCAGATCAGCAAATGTGATTCACAACATAAACAGGAGCAAAAGCAAAGACTATATGACCATCTCAGTAGATGCAGAAAAGCATTTGATGAAATGTTATTATTAAAACTCAACAAGCAGGCATAGAAGGAACATATCTCAAAATTATAAAGGCTATAATTAGAAAGGCTAAAACGCACAGCCAACATCATGCTGAATGGGAAAAAGCTGAAAATATTCTTCCTAAGAAGTGGAACAAGAGAAGGATGTTCACTGTCACCACTTCTGTTCAACATAGTGTTGGAACTCCTAGCCAGA